CGTCTCACCCCGAGCGCCCAGGCCACATGGCCCCCAACAGGAGGCCCCGCCCTCCTCGCCGAGCCTGTGCAGGAGCAGCTGACCCTGGCTCACCTCAAGGGGCCGCTGAACACATCATCTTCCCGGCAGCATCTCGTCACAGCATGGGCAGCGGCGTCACCCCGAGCGCCCAGGCCACATGGCCCCCAACAGGAGGCCCCGCCCTCCTCGCCGAGCCTGTGCAGGAGCAGCTGACCCTGGCTCACCTCAAGGGGCCGCTGAACAAATCATCTTCCCGGCAGCATCTGTCGTCACAGCATTTGAGTCCTTTGGAGCAGGGTCTGGGCAGGGGCAGGAAAGGTGGCTGGCACCAGAGTGGGAGGACCTGGGCCGGGACTCGGGACCTGGGCTTGGCATTTGTACCGAGTGACTTGGTGGCACGAGCACCCCACCACCACCCCGGGCAGGAGGGGCCTGAGGGCGGCAGTGGTTCTGACGTGGCTGGTCCGGCTCAAGGGCACGGAGGAAGAGGCCGCGCCAGGAGCCAGGAGCGGAGTGCAGGAGAAGGGAGCGCCCGATGGTACCCAGAGCTCGGGGTGGGCAGGGCAGGGGGCACAGACGCTGCTCTGCCCGAGGCCCCCCAGCTACTTCTCGCTGTGCTCAGCTTTGGGGGTGTATTTATGTATTAGCGTCACTGGCACACGCTCTGCCCACCGCCCTCTTGGGGACCCTTGGGGGAGGTGGCCTGGGCCTGCAGGAGGGAGGCTGGGATTAGGCTGGAGGTTTGTCCTGGAGGGAAGGAGGGGAGGGACGACTCTGATGACATCGGCCTCTGCTGGGCAGGGGGTGAGGAGGGCGGATGAGCGCCCAGCCCCCAGCCTCCCCCAGTGGGGGTCGCAGGCCTGGTCCCGACTTACGGAAACTGAGCACACCTGGGCGAAGTCTGCGGAAGAAGAGGCAGAGGTCACGGCTCCTAACCTGAAGGCGCAGCACAGCCAGCACCACCGACCTCCTTCCCCGGGTCCTCAAGTCAGTGACTGGAGCCCCCTGACCTTGGGCCCTCTCTCCCTCCTCCCACCCACCCCCCAGTGCATTCCCATATTCCCAGGTCTGGAATCTCCTGGCCACCCGTTCAATTCCTTGTGCAGGACGGCAACTTTCCTGGTCCCCGGCCCCTCCCACCTGGGACACCGCATTAGGACTATTTTTTTTGCAGTATGGGGATAGAACCTGGGGCCTCATGTGCTTAGCAAGTGCTCTGCGCTGAGCTGCATCCCACCCCTTTTTATTTATTTTAAGACAGGGTCTCAGTCTGGTGTGGTGGCGCATGCCTATAATCCCAGCATTCAGGAGGCTGAGGCAGGAGGATTGCTGTGAGTTCGAGACCAGCCTGGGCTACATAGTGAGTTCCAGGTCAGTCTCAACTACATAGTGAGGCCCTGTCTCAAAAAACAAAAACAACAACAAAAAAAACAAACAAAACAAAAAAAAAGACAGGGTCTCCCTTTGTTGCCCAGCCTAGCCTTGAACTTTCGATCCTCCTGCCTCAGCCTCCCTATACCAGTTCTGCAGGGCGTCCAGGCAGAATTGCACAATGTCTGTGGCATTTATGGCCCAAGCCTTTTCTCCCACGTGTCTGCAAGTCTGTAAAGCACCTTCCTCTCCAACTATGTCGGTCACACCAGGCCTGTAAAGCTCCCCTTCCCTTGTGGTTTAACTGTTCCCTGAAGCTCCTATCAACATCCATGTTCTATGTAGTTTATCTCATTAATTGTCTGCCCCATAGAATGTAAACTGCATGCAGGGTGGGACCTTTCTGTTTTGAAAACCTAACAGTTCAGGCCAGGCATGGTGGTGCACGCCTATAATCCCAGCACACCGGAGGCTGAGGCAGGAGAATCGCTGTGGGTTCGAGGTCAGCCTGGGCTACATAGTGAGTTTAAAGCCAGCCTGAACTGCATAGTGAGACCCTGCCTCAGAAAACAAAGCAAAACAAAACAAACAAAAACAACACCTAAGAGTCCAAACATCTGCAGGATGGATGAGGAAGTATTTGATGACCCAGTTTCACCCTGGCTGCTCTTAGACAGGGAAGGAACAATACAGTACAGGGACACAGGAAATGACAGTTACTGGTCATCCCAACTTAGCCACCTGAGCCAAACAACCAGGGCTCAAGAATAGGAAGACAAGCTGGAGGGTGCTTGTACTCCCAGCACTCTGGGAGGCTGAGACAGGAGGATCTCCAGCTCAAATCCAGCCTGAGCTATTTAGTGACCCTACCTCAAAATAAAAAGGGCTGGAAATGTAGGCCCAGTACCCTCCCTCCAAAACAGTACACTTTATCTTTTACTTAAAATAACCTAAGTAGCATTTCATTGCTAATCACAATAAAGATGAGTGTCAAGGACAGTCACAGTTGGGTGATCCCCTTTTCCAATCGCTCAGTCTCGGGCCCAGCACCTTTCTACATGCTGTGCCTTTTAGGGGGAATGGGACCGGAGGGGAGCCCCTGTGAACCCCTCAAATCACACAGCCCACAGGGGCGACTACAGAGTTCCAGACAAACTAAGAGGTCCTGGTGCTGGTGGCCACACCCCCCTCCCCTCAGATCCCTGACCCTCCTCCTCCTCCTAGACCCCGACGGAAATGATGGATAATTATCAGGTTTCTAAACTAGTCCCACTTCCTGCTTGGGGAGGGGGCACCTTTTCCGGGTTCCCTCTCTCTATGTTAACTAGGGCGGACCTGCTGGGTCCGGAGTTGACCTGCTGACCTGCTGAGCCTGAGTTTCGGAAGCCAGGTGATGCTGGGGACTATGGCTTCCATGCTCTGAATGATGGAGACAGCGACGCCCCCTGGAGGTGTTGGGCGGAATTTACAAGGGGATGCCTAAGGATGTGAAAGAAGGCCTGCACTCCCCGCAGCTAACCCAGGCCAGGCATCCCCTGACTGGGCCTCTCTCCCAGAACCACCGCTGTCCCCCAAGACACAACCGAGGCGTCAGGCAGCGGGTCAGAGGTCACACAGGCTGGAATGCAACCCTGACTCTCAGCGGAGGCCCTGGAGCCTCCCCTCCCGCAGGGCACTAGAAAAGAAAACATCCCAGAGAAGAAAGCTGGGCCGGCCCCAAGGTCACCCAGCGCTGGAGGAGCGGGGCCGGGGAGACGCCTGTCCCAGACGTTCAGACTCACGACCGGGTTTCTGACGCAGAGGACGAACCGAGGAGGAGCTGGAAAGCAGGCCAGCCGGTCAAAGTCCCCACAAGGAGGCAGGCCCAGGTATCAGATGGGCTGGCGTGGGCAGGTCCCCTGACTCTGCCCCGAAAGGCCAGGGAGGCCCAAGGAGGAGGGTCCGGCTCCCCACCTCCTCCACAGAAAGAAAAGTTAACAACCGCGAGCGCGCGAGGACAGGAGGAAACCCGACGATGGAAGGTGGGGACCGGGCTCCAGAGAGCGAGCGCACCTGCTCCTCCAGGTAGGGACCCGAGGGCACCACCAGCCTTACCTCCCGGGCGCTCGTCCAGAGCAGGCCGGACAGCAGGCCGAGCAGCACGATGAGCCCGAGGCCGGGGACCCTGACGTCCGACATCCTGACCAGGGTCCACTGAGCTTCCGCGGGAAAGGGCGGAGGGGAGGCCGGGCCGCGACCCCTCCCACTGCTCTCCACCTATGGGCCCCTCCCAGGGCGTGGGCGGGGCCGGGACACCTGGGTGGGGCCGGGGGGGATGGGAGAGGAAGGCGAGGGGAGAGGGCGGGAGAGGGGGCCAGGGCGGGCCGGGAGGAGGTCTGTCTGGGGTCCTGGGAATTCGGAGGTACGGAGACCGATTTCTTCTTTTAATTGTGGGGTAAACTTGAGACTGCTGTGACGCCTTGCTATCCGAGCTCCCAACTGACTGTCTCCGAGTTGCAGATATCGGGGCACCGAACCTCGTAGGCAGTGGAGAGGGGCGCAGACGGAGGGGTCCGGCCGCAATGAGCCCCTCTTCATTGCGAGTCTAGGTGGGATGGGGTGGGGTGCCTGGAGTGGGGGTGTGGAGCTTGGCGTCACCCCAGGAAGGAGGGAGGGCGGCCGGGTGGATTTCAGACTGTTCATACTGTGGCCCCCAGCCTCCTCCTGAATCTCCCGGACGCGTGTGGGCACGCGAAGGCGAGTCTGCCTGGCGAGCTGGTGCGGCCTGGCTTCCCCGAGACTCTGGGGTGCGCGGTGAGGCTCAGTCTGGCCGCCAGGGGGAAGCATTGCCCGCCCGGGACGCGGGGATCCCCTCAAGGTCCTCACCGGAGCTGGCCAAACCTGGGGCAGGGATCTCGGGCGGGGGGGCCAGCTCTCAGGCTTGGCGGGGTCCCCACTGGGGCTTTGCCCTCGAAAAACACCTCAACTTCTGAGATCCCTTCTCTGCTTCTCTGTCCCAGTCCTGTCATCTGATATACGGATGGCCCCCATCTCCTCCTTTTACCCAGTCTCCTAACTCGTCATCTCCCTGAGCATTTACTTTCTCCCAACTTATCATTATTATCATTTTTGGTAGGGGAGGAATTGAGGTAGGGTCTCACTATGTAGTTCAGGCTGGCCTTAAACTCACCACCATCCTCCTGCCTCAGCCTCCCTAGTGATCTCCCAAGTTGTGTGTGCCTATTTTCCCCTGCAGTATCCTCTCTCGGCCCCCGTGGAAGAGTTTTTGTTTTCTGTCTGTGCCTCTGTTTCCCTGCACTGCCTCAGTCCTACCCCCACTCCCATCTCAGAGTCTGTTTTTCAGGGCTCTCCTGATCTCCACCAGCACCCTGTATCTCTCCCTAGTCTCTGTTTCCCTCTTGCCCTGTCTCTGTTTCTCATTATCTCTTCTGGCCCTTAAAATCAGAAACTTCCAATCTCCTGAGCCAAGTGCACTGTGAGCTGGGTGGGGGGCACCTCTGGCCTCCTGGCTCTGAGGCTGGCACCAGACCCTAAACTTCCCTGTCCAGGGGACCCTAGTCCAGAGGCCGCCGGAATCTTCTCCCAATGCCACCTATGCTTCTGAGCTCCTGGCGTGGACTTACCCCCTCCACACCCCATCTGAGCGAGCTGGCATCCTGCAGGGATGAGGCCCAGGGGAGAAGAGGGCCTGCTGGGGAGAGAGAAGAAAGGTGATGGGAAGCCATGGGGGAAGGCTGGGGAGGCTGGGAGGAGGGATCAGGCAGGCAGCAGAGCATCAGGAGGGGCTGGAGAATGGAGGAGACAGTAGTGTTGCTTCAACTGGGTTTCCAGCATCCACCTTACCCACATCTAGGGTGGCCAAAAACCAAAAAGACAGGGCCCCATCTCAGCATTCAGGGGGCAGGGGCCGGGGATTTGGCTCAATGGTTCCGCCGCCTGCCTTGAAAGCACAAGCACCCGAGTTCCATCCCAGGTACCAAAAAAAAAAAAAAAAAGGAGGCCGAGGCAGGAGGATCTCCAGTTCAAGCAATGTAGCAACCTAGAGACACTGACTCTAAGTAAAAAATGAAAAGGGCTGGGGTGAAGTTCAGTGTGAAGGCCCTGGATTTGATTCCAAGTAAAACACACACACACACACACACACACACACAGAGGACACTAATTAAATTTGAATTTCAGAATTTCAGATAAACAAAAAATAAATTTTATCCCATTATATGGGATATACTTATAGTGAAAGAAAATTATTCATTGTTTATCTGAATCTCAAAGTTGCCTGAGTGTCCTGTATTTTTATTTGTGAAATCTGGCGGCCCTACCCACATCCCTGAAATGTCACAGACAGAGACTCCACCCCCACTCACTGCTTTCCAGAGGAGAAAATGAGGTCCCAAGCTCTTGACTATGGGGGCAGAGTTCCAAGTCCCCAAAGCTGCCCCTCTGCGTTCCTGCCTGAGAGCGCAGGCGTTGGGGGCTGAAGTGGGCGGTGCCTGGAAGGTGAGGTCTGGCTTTGGGGGTGCCGTGGGGTTGCGGGCTGGGCACGAGAGATCCATCCCTGGTGGCGCTTGAGTGTCCCATCCTGGCTGGGGCCACGGGGGTGGGGGACCCAGAGACCTCCTGAAGCCAGGGTCCCCCTGGATTCCAAGGCAGATTCCATCTGGGATTCCGGAGAGCTCGGGGTCAGATGTCTTCAGATGCCCTGGCTTTCTCCCTGTCACATCTGCGAAAGAACGGGCTGATTGTCTCCGTCCTCCCGGGCTCAGCGGGGAGGGCCTGGAGCCGGCCCACGCGCTCTCGGGGACGCCGACTGGCCCCCAAAGAGACACTGCGGGCTGAGTCAGGACCAGCGCCTTTCAGGCCCTGAGACCCCACACCTAGCTCAGGGAGCCGCTGCTCCAAGGGGGAAGAACCAGGCCGGGTTCTGTTTCACTCGGCGTGGCCCCCACTTCCCCCCTGCAGGGCACCCTAATCGCTGTAACCTCTCGGGTTTAGGGCTGCGATCTCTTCCGAGCTGGCAGAGCTCGGGCCCCGCCGGCAGGGGCGGTCTTGTGTCGTGTTGGAGCGTGAGGCTTGCTAGGCTGTGCTGTGTGACTCTAGACAAGAAGCTGACTTCTCTGTGCCTCTCTAGACGCGTCTGAGAATGGAGGCAGGGATGTGGGTAACCAGATGTGATCACAGAGGCTGTAGCGGGGGTGGAACAAGCCGCCGATGACTGGCGCGCTGCGGCGGCCGGGAAACCGACAGGGCTGAGCCGGCGGTGTTGGCGAGCCGCACAGAGGCGGGGCCCGGAAGTGGGTTCATCAGTGGGACCTCTAACCTGGGCTCCCCGGTGTCCGTTATGGAACAGGTGTCTCTCTGGCTCCCTAACCTTCAGAGGCTCCTTACTGCCACCTGGGTTAGTCCACCCGAAGGACAACCCCAGGGTCCACCACACTGCCTTCCCGCCTTTCCAGGGGACTCTCCCTGCCCTTCCGCCCCTGCCTCTTCTCTCCCCTCCCTGCCTCCGTCCTGCAGTTTCCCCGAGTCCCTCTGTGAAACCTAGCAAATCCCGACCCATCCTGCAAGGCCACGCCCCGGGACCTCCCCCTTCCCAAAGCCTTCCCGCTAAAGTGACCGTCTCCTCCTGCTGGCGCCCGCCCAGGCCTGGACTGAGTCCTCGCCCTTCTTCCCTGGTGACGTGTAGCTATGTCCTCATGTTCCTACCAGGCGGTGGAGCAGGCCAGGGTGGATTCGGCTTTTTTGGTTTTTGTTTTTATACTGGGGACTGAACCCAGGGCCTTTGTCCTGAGCTCCATCCCCAGCCCTTTCTTTAGGCTGTATTTTACTTTGAGATGGGGTCTAAGCCATTAAATTGCTCAGGCTGGGCTCAAACTTGTGATCCTCCTGCCTCAGCCTCCTAGTGTGCAGGGATCACAGGTGTGTGTCACCAAGTCCACAGGATTCAGCTTTCATCCCCCAAGCGCTCTGTTCCAAGTGAACCCCTGCTCTGAGCCCAGTTGGTTAGGGGTCTCTGGAGGTCAGGGGCCAGATTACTCCCAGGACGCAGGGAATTCATTTCCACAGTCCTGGTGAGGGGCCCTGGCTGGGGGAGTACAGACTGAGTGTACCCACACCTCTGCTGTGTTTGGGTAATACCTCCTGCCCCCCAGGATGCTGTGGCCCTGTGACCCCCAGCAAAATAGCACCTGGGACTGAGCAGCCCCTGGGGGTCACTGCACAGAATGTCGGCTTCTTGCCCAGGAGCCTGCAGGGCAGCCAGGGGTCTGCCTGGCCTTGGGACCAAAGGCTTCTTTGGAAATGGAGGCCCCTGGTCTCCTCCTCGGTGTGACGGGCGTGGGGATGGCAGAGATGCCTGGTGCAGATGACCCGGGTCTGAGCCGGCAACCTGTGGACCGGGAGTGGGACCCGGGGCAGGAGGGCCGGACCTCCTGCCCATTAGTGGTGCAGGGATCTCATTACTCTGAGGAGTAGATTGGAGGGGCCCGGGTAATGCTCACCTTCCTCCCAGCGGACAAAAACGGCATTTAGGAGCCATTATTCTTCCAAAGTGTATGTTTCCGGGGCCCAGGCCAGGACTGGAGAGGAAAACAGCCCTGGGAGATGGGGGGGTCAGGGGGAAGGGGGGTGACTGGAGAAGGCTGAGCTAAACAGCTGCTGTGACCCAGGTGAGAGGCCAGGCTGAGTGGGCTCTGGGGCTCAGGATCTCTGGTCTGCACCCCCTGAGCCCCCCCCACCATCTACTCTGAGATAGGACCCTGTAACCGGAGAGAAGAGAGGAACTTGGGACCCCCAGAACCCCGACTTTCCAGTTCTGCTCTTACTGCCCCTGTCCTTTTTTCTTTTTCTGCTTGTTTGTTTTGATTTTTGAGACAGGGCCTCGATATGTACTCCAGGCTGGCCTTGCACTCATCATGATTTTCCTGTCTCAGCCTCCCAAAGAAAGAGCTGTCTGTGGGGTCCTCTTGGATCCAAATGCGGTTAGACTCAGAGCTGCCCAGCCAGAAGAAGCTGGGCGCCTTAGAGGGGGGCGTCTCCTCTGGTCAGGGTTGGGGGGCAGCCCGGGCTATTTACGAGCGAGGAACACGGAGGGGTGGGCGGGGAAGCGGCAGTGAGTGGCCCTTCCTCAGATCTCTCCCAGCAGCCACAACATCTGGCGCCCAGCGGAGGACGGACTTGGCTCCAGGTGTGCGCGCTCGCAAGCGGGCCTGTGCAGTGGTGTGCTCGCGAGTACGTGGGTGTGCACGGGCACAGACGCCCCAGCCCAGGCGGCCCGGCCTCCTATCTCCCGGCCGGGTCCCTCCCTCTCCCTCGCAGCGGTGGCCCTGTTAGCGCCTCCTCCCTCCCTTGTTAGCGCCTCGCAGCCTCCCCGCCCCTCGTCCCTGCGTCCGGAGAGGCCCGGTGGCCGGCAGCCTAGTTCTCGCCTTCTCGTCCTCCCCGCCGCGCAGCCCCCTGCCCCCTCCTCCACCCCCACCCTGGGTCCACGTGGACGTGGAAGGGGCTGGGGGAGGCGGCCCTGTGCTGGGGTCAAAGCTAAGAACCCCCTCCCCCGTAGGCGCGTCCTCTGCTGCCCGCTGCCCTCCAGGGCTACTGTGCCCAGGCTAAGGGCTGCGGGGCACAGGGTGGTCTCCTGCGGCCAGGCCTCCGGGACTGCCGACTTCCTCCACTGAAGGGCCCCTTCCCTTCGGGCTTTGAAGTGTCTTCGAGGTTCGTGGAGGATGTTTGGTTTCGGGGCCGAATGCCAGGATAAACTCCTTCTGCCTGCGCAGCCAAACCACCGCCTCCTCACCTCCAGGCTGGCTTTCCTCCCCCAGCCCTGGACCCGGCCTCCTCCAGGCTGGCACTGCCCGGCCTGCCCATGCGGCGGGCACCGAGGCGGCTGTTAGGTCACCAGGAGAGACCCCCGAGGCAGTGGCAATCCTGGCCCCGAGCTGAGCTGGCCCTGGGCATCTGCAGGCCAGGTGACCCATGGGGCCGCTGCAGGTGGGGCCGGGGGTGTCCACGTGGAGCAGCCTGCACGGGTCCAGCGGCTCCAGACTCGGGTGACTCATCTGGAATGGGGACAGGTGGGCGGTCCTGGGGGGAAGTGGGCCCGGCAACTCTATCAGCTGCTGCACCCCCTCCTCTGGAGTCCAGCCCGTTAGACCCCGGGGCTGGTGAAAAGGGAGCTGTTCAGACGCTGGGCTCGCTGGGGTGCAGAGAGGAAGGAGGAGAGGAGGCCTCAGGGTGAGAGCCAGGCTAGGACAGGGAGGACAGTGGCGAGCACAGTGAGAAGCCCAGCACGGGCTCTGGAGTGTGGCACTGGGAGGAGGGTGCAGGGTGCGGAGGGCTGTGAGCACGCACACCCCGTGTGTGTGAGTGTGTGAGTGAGTGTGTGTGTGTGTGTGTGTGTGCGTGTGTGTGTTTCAGTGCCGGCGGGCGGAGCACACATGGGGTGAGGCCCCATTGCGTGTGCACTGTGTGTCTGGCAGGTGTAAGCTGAGTTTTGGAGCTGGGGAGGCTGTGCGCATCCTGGGGTGGGGGCTGTGTGGGCCTGTGATAGAGGGGGGCCGTGGAGATGGCGTCTGCATTGCCGTGGCTCTGGGGGAGCTAAGTCACCGGGACCTTTGGGTGCGAGTTCAAGGCCTGCCCTGAGAAGCCAGGGCCCCAGAGCGGGGGGCTTCCTGTAGCCCCTCATGTCCCAGTGATCTCTCCTGCCCGTGGGGCTAGGGCTTGGGCAGCGGTGCCTTTCACCCTCCTGGCCTCTGCTTTGGCCTCCAGGTGGCTTGGCTGGTAGGGCCACTGCCATTCCCGGGAAGGCCCACCTGTGCCAGCCGTGCCAGCCAGGGTAAACAGGGCAGTAAGTGTCTGGGCGTGCGCCTGGGTGGCTGGGCGCCACTCCACACGCCGGCTCGGTCTGCCGAGCCAGCCTCCTCCAGCCACACGCCAGGGCTGAGCCTGCACCCAGAAATAGTGTTCGGCATGTCGGGGGCCCGGGGACCGCAAGCAGATGCCAGTCAACTTTACTTTGGCAGCAACCCATCACCCTACTCCGCTGCAGGGCTCTGACCTTTGCTAACAGCTTACGGGGAATCGTTGGTCACTGTCACACACATGAGCTCGCCTTGTTGCCAATCCCCTGCGTGATGTAGGAACCGGATGTGTCCCCAGTGCACCCCTGGGCATCCCTGTCCCTCCTGGGATGTAGGCTTCTGGGGCTCCCTAGCCTCTCTCCTGGGGCACTGATTTTCCGGCTCCACCCTGGGCCAGGCTGCCAGTTCCCCAGCCCACAGGACAACCCCTCAGGGAGGATAGGAACTGAGGGTAGGAGTGCACCAAGCAGGGTGGCAAAGAGCAGCAGGAAGCCCGGCTTCTCCTCAGCCTGGGGAGAGGGGGAGCAGGTACCACTCCTGTCCTAGGCAGCAGGCACGACAGAGCAGGAGCGGTGTCCTAAGACTGCCCACAGGCAGAGGCCCTTCTCTCCTGTGGGTGAGAGGACAGGGCGTGGCCAGAGCCCACGGGCAGCTGGCAGGTAACCTGGCCTGTGGCTGCCCTGCAGATAGAGAGAGGCTACCAGGCCGGGGCTCCCCTTGCTGAGATAGTCAAGATGAACTGGGAGACAGTGGGTCACCTCCTGTAGGTGGGGGAGGCCCGGGCCCCAGGCAGCGCCCCACTGCACCGGCCCCACTTTCTCAGTTTCTATCTGTGACCTTCAGCCTCTCCCCATTTTTCACTGTGTAGCTCTTTTCCCCTTCTGCCCTCCTTCCTCTTTCCTTCTATTTTGCCTTTCCTCCTGCCCTTCTCTCTGCTCCTTAGGGTGGCAGGGGCTGGCTTTCCAGAATGCAAGGGGACTTCATCCAGAGAGGCCTTGGCATGAGTTCATGATCTCAAATTGGCCGAATCAGCTTCCCATTTTCTTTGCCTGGGCCTCCCCTGGGACCCCTGCGCTTGGGGTTCCTGGAGCCAGAGTCTGGCATTGCTAGGTGGTATGAGCACTCCCTCTCCCCTCTTCTCCCTCTTTCTCTCCCTCTCCTTCTCCCTGGAGAAGGCAGTGCCCTGGGAGCCTTACGTCTGGCCTCCATCTCTGGATGACCAGATGCCCGCCATGCCCAGGGCCATTCAAATCTGTGCCAT